AAACAACCTACACACCACAGATTATACACATACCTATCAGGCACGGTCGCATAATGCAAAAAAACTGGAATTCAAACAGCGACTAGTAGTGATGCCAACTTACAGCTCTAGGGCCAATCCGGACTTCTGGGCAGTTGTCCGATCAGCCACGGCCAAATCACCCGCGCTTGTCGCGTCCGCCTTTAACCAGCGTCCTCCGGGTCCGCGACCAGGCAAACTGGGCGCCTCCCGTGCGAGGAGGATGGAGGCGCAGATTTTGCGACGTTCCACCATCAGGGCAGTCATTTCGGTAGCCAGGCGCCAGACAAAAATGCAGCTGTCCGCGGAGATGCTCACCAGGTGCCTCAGATCAGGCAGGAAGAGGAGACCGCTGACGAGCTCCGAATGGCCGAACAATGTGCTTACGGGCACACCAGAAAAGAGGTGATAGATGTTTATCTGCTTGTCAGACCCTGTAAAGACGGACAATGGCGAAGTAAGGAAGCAGTAAGCGAAGTGCAAATAATGAATGATTAATACTGACACCTAACAGTTCAAAATTAGTGCAGTTCATGTATAACAAATCCGATTATTAAGACGAATTATCGAAGCTGTAGACAGCTTGGAATCAGAAGCAGAGGTAGTATAAATTAAGAAAAGACGGATTAAATTTAAATGTAGAAGTCAAACAACAGCGACAGCTTAAATAATTTTTTGAAAAAGAAAACACCAGTGGAGTTAGAAAACCATAGAGAACAGAAAACCTAATTGGATTTTGCAGACATATTGACAGTTATGGTGTCATGAAAAAAAAAACGATAAGCAGATTTAGTCGACAGGGATGTGTGTACACGACCTGGGAGGCATTAACAAGGCAACTACCAAAAACTGAAACCAAAAGCCAGACACAAAGAGCAAGCGTCGGCTACAGTGACAAAAGGCAAAGTCACTTAAGCGATTGACTTGCTGGGGACATCCCTCCCGGTTGCTCATTACGCCATGAAGAGTAGAACATTGTCCTTAAGACGACGCACAAACAATTTTGGGATAAAGTGAATTAATACCGGCTGTATGTTATCCCAATCAAACAGTACTGCGCATACACTTCATTCGATGAATGGTTTTCGTAAGACTTTAGCCAGTAATATTTTCTATACATTATTTTCACATACATACACGGAGGACGAATGCTATCGATACTCGGTAAAAGAA